ATTTTGGTTTGGGTGTTCATGCAGTTTTTTACCCCCCCTCTTCAACCCCCCCCCCCCCCCCCCCCCACACACACACGCCTCTCTCTCTCTCTCTCTCTCTCCAGGCCCGTAGCCAGGGGGGGTTCGGGGGGTTCGAAAGAACCCCCCTTTTTGCAGGGAAAAGGTCCCCTCTGGGTGAAATTTATTTAAGATACATGAAAGTTTCATGGTAAAAGGTCCACTTTTTCAGAAAAAGAACCTCCCTTTTGAAATTTCTGGCTACGGGCCTGCTCTCTCTCTCTCTCTCTCTCTCTCTCTCTCTCTCTCGGGCAGTTCAAACCAGCAGGTCTCCCGTGCCCCCTACCCCCACCCTTCTTTCACTCTCCATCCCAGACGTCCATTTCACCCTTCCCATCCCCCACTTATCAGAGAGGATCGTAAAGCCGGTAGATCCAACGCAAAAGTCTCTGGGCACCGGCTTGTAGCGCTTCCCTCGTCCCACTGTGCTATATGAAACGATGAACAAGCCGAACAAACAGTCCTTTTCTCTGCTCGCCATCGTATACATGTTGTGTAAAGAAGTGACCCACACTGGCGGCAAAACGGCAGCTATAATAATTCCTGAGTCAATGCATTATTTACGGCGGTGCGTCAGCCGGCTATATTATAATACACCGGGAACAGTCAGATCAATTGTGTGTGATCAATACGGTCTCGTGTGCTGATTTTTCCTTACAGTGAAACCAGCAATGGTTTATAACGATGATGTCGATATAATGTTATCAGCTGTAAGCGTTTAGTACTTAAACACATGAGGAAGTGACTGACAGTTTTCGTCTTGGGCGCAATATTTATATTTAAAAAAATAGGATCTTGTTTGACTCTAAACGTAGTCCCTGTCATAAAAAATCACACTGGGTCTAACAGCAGGATCCCTTCAGTAATTAACCAAGCACAGATGAACCTTAGAGCACTAGAAATTGCACTGTTTAAGATCATGATAAACCCAACTCATAAAATAAAACAATGGCAAGCCCATATTAACAATCGCCGGTTAACCCCCCCCCCCTCCCCTTTAATGAGCCCCTACCGACACATTATACTACCTTTTCCGATGTGGCACAGGTAAATATTGACTAGGCAGGGTCGGTCACATACCATAGTAAGTACGTGTGATAATACTGTCATTGTAGTTATGACCTTATATGTAATATTGTCATCAGGCCCTTTCTTACTCATTACACAGATCTAGCAGTATGACAGCCACGATGACTTATCGGGCCTGATCAAACAAGGCTCTGCCCTAGTTAGGTATGACCATATTTGGCAGGCGCTACTAGTCAGCTATTGGCTGACTAATTGTAGTCATTGCCATATATGGAAACCGGTGTCCGTAGTTCTTGGAAGAGCTTGACACGCGGTCAATAAAACCCAGACCACGAGAAGCATTGACACAGTTATTCTCGTACAGCAGTCCAGTGTACACAGTCCACGCTCAACTCCTTTTTGTGTTTTTTCCCTGTATACCAGTAACTTATCAACATGTGTGACGACGATGTTGCCGCTTTGGTTGTGGACAACGGGTCCGGTATGTGCAAGGCTGGGTTCGCCGGTGACGACGCACCAAGAGCCGTCTTCCCATCCATCGTAGGACGCCCCAGACATCAGGTTAGTTATAGTGCCGGTAGACTATTACACGAAACAGGTGGTTGATCTCGATATTTGGGAATGGCTGTAGTATACAGCATAGTAGTAAAGTACATGTGGTGCAGGTTAATTTTTGGGTTAAACTTTTTATCGACAACACAAGTGACAACTCCCCATGCGTTAGCTGTTAATGTGATGAGTCATGGGCGGGAAATCGATCTAATTAACTCGAGAAGCCGGCAACAGAGGAGGGGGGCGTTTTCATACGTTTCAATGCTTTAAACTTCTACTTGGAAGTAAAAATGAAGGAAAGAGAAACGTATGTATTAATTCATATTCTTAAAGAATTAACATGTCCCACCCATTTAGATTTGGAGCGTTTGTTGGGTGGTTTAGAAGCAGGGTGGGCGTGGTAGGCTCTCTCGCGTGTTAAAATAGTTGTAGTCCAAGCTGCGTCAAGACATCGCCCGATACTAGTCTGTACATATTAAATAGTGCATGTAAAATGCCAGAGGTGTTCGGCCCATTCGGTTCAACATCTGGCGGGAAAGTGATGTCTGTTTCACCAGCGGCCACCTGTTGTTTAGCTGCCAGCTCACATTTGGCTTTACGCACGCCTGCTAAACTGGCGTGGGAAAATCGACTTCTTTCATTGGGAAAAATATTAATCGGACGGAATACTTAGAGCAATATAGGAAGTTTTATTTCAAAAGGTCGTGAGAAAGTAGTGGACATTTTGAACTGTCAGCTTTGTTCTTATCGGCTGTTAACGGCTGCACGTGAGAATTATGCAAGCGACATCTACAAATACCATATAAGGTAATGCATGACCATATATGGAGAGCGTGACCCCGGGTCATAGAACAGGGTGTTCCATAAACATGCCAGTGGTTGCGCTTATCAAGACCACTGGCCATAAGTGGTGACGCCACTCCTTTTATAGAAATGCCGCCTTTTGTGTGCCTAACGATCAGCAGTATAAGCGAGGGTTCTTACTTGGGCGTGACTGCCAATTTAGTGTTTAGTCGACAAACAAAGCACGCCTGGCCGCCATGTTTGTCATCGCTATCGCATTTGAGTTGTCATTGTGATTTAACACATGCTTTAAGTGGGCGTGGCCATCACCTTTCATACTAGGAAGTGGAAATTGTTGAATGAAATTTAAAGTCATATTTTTAGTTTAAGAAATAAAATCTTACGTAAACATTACCATATGAATTTTGATTTAAATGTATATTAATCTATTTTAGGGTGTCATGGTTGGCATGGGTCAGAAAGACAGCTACGTCGGTGATGAGGCCCAGAGCAAGAGAGGTATCCTCACCCTGAAGTACCCCATTGAACACGGTATCGTCACCAACTGGGACGATATGGAGAAGATCTGGCATCACACCTTCTACAACGAGCTGCGTGTGGCCCCAGAGGAGCACCCAGTCCTGTTGACAGAGGCTCCCCTGAACCCCAAAGCCAACAGAGAAAAGATGACCCAGATCATGTTTGAGACCTTCAATGCTCCAGCTATGTACGTCGCCATCCAGGCCGTGCTGTCTCTGTACGCCTCTGGTCGTACTACCGGTATTGTGCTCGACTCCGGCGATGGTGTCACCCACACAGTACCCATCTACGAGGGTTACGCCCTCCCCCACGCCATTCTCCGTTTGGACTTGGCTGGTCGTGATCTCACAGATTACCTCATGAAGATCCTCACCGAGCGTGGTTACTCCTTCACCACCACAGCCGAGAGAGAAATCGTTCGTGATATCAAGGAAAAGCTGTGCTACGTCGCCTTGGACTTCGAGCAGGAGATGGCCACCGCTGCTTCCTCCTCCTCCCTGGAGAAGAGCTACGAGTTGCCCGACGGTCAGGTGATCACCATCGGCAACGAGCGTTTCAGGTGCCCGGAGGCTCTGCTCCAGCCATCTTTCTTGGGTATGGAGTGCGCCGGTATCCACGAGACCACCTACAACTCCATCATGAAGTGTGACGTTGATATCCGTAAAGACTTGTACGCTAACACCGTGCTGTCCGGAGGCACCACCATGTTCCCCGGTATCGCTGACCGTATGCAGAAGGAGATCACAGCCCTTGCCCCAAGCACAATGAAGATCAAGATCATCGCTCCACCAGAGAGGAAATACTCCGTATGGATCGGTGGCTCCATCTTGGCCTCTCTGTCCACCTTCCAACAGATGTGGATCAGCAAACAAGAATACGACGAGTCTGGCCCAAGCATTGTCCATCGCAAGTGCTTCTAAACTTGAACTCTGTACCGACTTGTTAATGAACAGTGGACTGCTGTGACGTCATCATTCCTCCTTGTGATCCTACAAACTGTTTTTGTGTTATCATCAGGATGAACAAAAAATAAACTTCTTAAAGAAAAAAGACGCTCAGAAACAACCGTAAGCCATTTTTTTACATTAAAAAAAAATAAAAATGCGGCTTATTTTGGGACTGCTATCTCTAGAAACCGCGTCCTTTGCCAAAGAGCGAAACCTGGAAACAATCGTCTGATTAACTCGCTACTTTCTCACGGACTCGTTATACGTTCCAAGTTTTGAAAAACAAAAAATATATTCTTGGTTCGCTTAAACAATCAAGGTAACTAAGGGACCAAAGTGTCCGAATTCGCACCATGAAAAGTTAGTGACTCTCTTTTTGAGCTCAAGTGGTGGTGCTCGGTTCACTTTGTTACTTTTATTGCAATATACTTTTTGTTAATTTTTCATATTTACATGTGATTTAATTTGTTATGCAGTATTATAATAACACCAATCGTAAACAAAAATAAAAATACATAAGTTAAGAAAGCAGTTTGTCTTGATGCATTGACTCCTTTCTTTCCCTCTATCCTCTTATCTTATATACTCTCTATATATTATTCTAAATTCTCGAGGATGTCCTTCAGTTGATAAAGACTGAGATTTGAAACGTCTCACTAAATAGTACTAATACGTTTGCATTCACTGTAAAGAAAACGCACTTTAATATAAGTTCCCCCCCCCCCCTCATATTTAAAACTGAAGCCATGTACTGATGGAAATTCATCTGTGTAGTCGTAGGATATGATATGATACTTGAATCATATGAAGCCATGTTATTTGTCAAGCACAAATCTCGCATTAGCGGGCGGCATATTAAGTCAAATAAATTCTGAATCGATTAGGGAATGAAATCGTTACACCTTTCGTTATGCACGACCACAGCGCACGCTGAACTAATCCCATCTTTTCTCGCCTTCCACACAGAATTTGTATTTTTCAAGTAATACACGCATTTTATGTCTAAAACATTGTAACAACATGGTTCAGCCCTTGCAAAGAGGCTTTGGGAATTTCATCTCGGCAATAGACAGTCTAATCAAAATTGTTCAAGCTGTGCGCAAGAGAGAAATCTCGAATTTAAACTAAGTCCGCCAAAGCCAACATCAAAAATATCGTTGACATAATGCAAATATCAATTATCCTTATTATATCATTTTAATAGTGAATGACGCAATGGAAAACGTTTGGTGAATATCAGAAGAATACGCTCTTGTGCAGAGAAAAGGTGATGTTTAAAAAACGATAAAATTAGATAAAAGAAAAAGCCACAAAAACGATTCGCTGGTTGTTTGTCTTCACATTGTATATACGATTTCGTTCTCCAGGCGGTAAGTTATTCTAAATGCGGACTATGTGACAGTTGAGTTGTTTGTGCTTATATACAACGCGCTGTTTCGTAATCAGAGGGGTAAGAAAATATTTTAATGACCTTCTATCGTGATACCGGGCGAGGGTAGACGATAAACGGTGTGGCGTTAGACCTGTTGGTCAACAAATACGAGACCTCTAGCGCTGTGAGCGAAACTGAACATTATTTTGGATTTGCATCCCCATCTTTCTCCCAGTCTTCGTATGACTTGTTGCCCTGATGATTTTGTATTCCCACCTCTAATAAAATGTATTTATCAAATCATAGGCGTAAGGGAGGTTAGATTAAGTGAAAGATTGACATCTTCGCTTTATAACTTTCTAGAATAGACATAGATAACTAAGTCTGACGGAATTTACTAGATTCTTCAGTTTTGTCATTTTTTACGTAGGCGATATCCCCTCTTTATGTAAGCGTTATCAGACAAGAAAAAGTAAATGCTAAAAATTTTTTTTGATTGTGCAAGTCCCACATTGTAATAACATAAAACACTATTATCCATTTTACCCTTTTTTTAATTACTTCTATTAAAGATCAAATTTCAACAAGAAACTTGGTTTTCCAGAAACCCTCTTTATTGTATCATCTTAAGTTTACAGCTATAATATCATTTCACAACACCGAGGAATGTTAGAAGTTAGTACAGACACATTACCGCAATGATAACAGTCACATTTCGTGGTCCCTTCAACAGTTTTAACCAAAATATGACGAAATCTGCCGAGCGATTGTGTTGGGTGTGACAGAGCTCACCTAACGCAATGAAGCAAAACCCTTCTGTGGTAATACACACGATAGATAACCGTCACCGTTCACCAAGTATATGCTCGTGGAGAACATACTAATGATGTACAATACAGACATTTGCTTATAAAAACTGGAACAGAAATACACTGTAGTCTCCTAGCAAATAGCAAAATTTGAAAAGTACACAGGCATTATATAAAGCAGACAACTGGTTTCTATTCGACTTTTATACCTGTAACTATACTGAAATATATGCATTTCTTAGCCAGGCTTCAGTTCTACCTCAGCGCAACTAAAAAGTATCTTCAGCTAATGATAATAAGATAGTAACAATAAGAGATAGATGCTGCTAGTAGAGATTCAGTCTTTGCCATTGCTTTTTAATATAGTCCACAGCATTATCACAGAAAAAAAGAAATACCCTGGAATGGTAGGTCACCTCTATATGCACATTTATATAGGATAATTACTAGATCTTTTCAATGGGGAAAAATTCTGAATTTTACAGATACTGAGTTTTTTAGTCATATTTTTTTTAGATTTACAACATTCCTATTGAGTGGTAGCAGCAGAATTAAAAACAGGCTACTGTACAGTTAAATTCTATGCAGTAAAAGCACCACAAATGTTATATATAAAATAATTTTCGTGATTTATAAAATTATGTATCTGAAAGTTTGTTGATTTTTGCCCATTGAAAAATTCTACTCATTACCGTATTCATATTTTAAAGGGACACACCATCTCATCCCTAGCCTCTTTTGTCATCAGAATGAGAATTAAGCAAATTCCCATTTCCTAGTCACTTGACAGTGGAGACCTCTATTGACTAGAAGTAAAACCTCAGAGTAGTTTTGCATGTTGCAAATGGACAAGCACATGTCTATCATATAAGTTTGACTTACAATATAAGGATGTTTTCCAAATGCCTCTTGCCACACTGTACACAAATATTGCTACCTTATGCATAATAAACACCCACCTCTTTGATATATAGTACGACAGTAAGAAAAAAAAACATGGCAATAAAGAACCTTTTTCATCAACATCACTACTAAACCTGAAGAAAAAATAATAATAAATAAAATAAAATAAAATAAATAAATGAAATGAAAGCCCTGTGCAAAAACCACCTTCCAGACCTATTTACCAGTATAGCTTTTAAACTGAACATTATTTCCACCTATCTTATCTTAAAACCCAAATGGGATAGCTGAGAGGATGTTTTGGAAGGCTAACACTTTGAGGAGACTTTCCAATTAACAAAATATATCTTTGGTCCAGACAAAACTGATAAGATAATGATTAATGAGTGCAACTGACCCTTATCTAAAGAAATCAAATTATTATGCACATACTTTTTCCTTTTTTGCATGTAGAAAAAATTGCACTAGGTATGTGTTTGGTTAGTGGGAGAAATTTACAACTGACAGCACTTCTTTTAAGCTGCTATGCTCATTAAAAGCATCTTGGGTTTAAAAAACAAATCTAAATTTGTCTACTAAACCAGCTTACAAAACGTTGCCATTTGTTAACTAGCTTATCAATTATGTCTGGCATTTGCAGGCAAATTTTCAATAACAGCTGATGTTAAACAATCTGTTTTGCCTTTCAATTGTTCAGCAACCCTTAATCTGACTAGGTATTACTGGCTAGTAAGTAACATCAAGTAAAAAAGGTCTATAAAAAAGTAGTTTTTTTGGGGGGAAACACTTTTATGCCATAAACAAAATCACTCAACAAAGTTTGCCTTTAAAGCTCTAGCAATTAAAGCTCTAGCAGAATAGAGTTACTGAGATATTTTGACTGCGTAAACTAGGGACAGTCACAGGATGCAATGTTAGCTATCACATAATTATCGCTTAACAATTAGCAGCTGTTGCCTTGGAGACAATAAACATGTAAACAAAAGTAAGCAACCAAGAGGGAAGTCAGCACTATACCTTTTAGTACTAAAAACAGGGCTCCTAACAGCCACATGTGATTAAGCATTAGAAGCAAGTGGAAACAGTAACAATGCTGATAACTGCATGTGATAGTCATGGAGCTCTGAAAAAGAACTTTGAAAGTACCTACAAACTTAACTATGAAATTTTCTAAAAACTTAAAAAGGTGACAGATTCTGAAAACAAAAAGCTGTTTGTTTATGTTAACAAACAACCAAACAAATAAACAGAAACATAGTAAATGCCTTGTTACTCATAACTACCAAAATGGCACAACTAAAAACAAACAAATCATGCTAATATTAACTTAACAATAAAAATCTAACACAAAAGCTGGTTTTTCTTCGGGAAAGGTCTACACACACAAAAAAAAAATTATGCTCTGACTTAATCAACAAAAATAAACACACTTCCTTTGTATGATATTTCCACAGTACACATTACAAAGCAGCATCAAATCCCAGAAAAATATCTTAATGCTAACCAAATCTTCCCTCCATAATCTTCATTTATTCCTGTCCTCAGTCATGATGCTGCCAGAGCTTCATTCTGAACACAGGTAAGTGTGAAATGTTCAAACTGCCTTTTGCACTCAAAGGGTGCCTCCAAGAACCAAAATGCCCAATTGACTATCAGTGCAAGTCCATCCTCAACCCAACTGGTGTGCAACTGACTAGAGAACTGTCAAATACTTTCTTTCCAATATCCTGCCCCCTGCCCCCCGTCCCCCCCCCCCCCAAAAAAAAAGGAAAGAAAGAAAATAAAAATCCAACCCAATCTCCTTCCACAATCTGTTGTTCCCAGCAGCCAAAGAGTTCATTAAGCCGAAGGGTTTGTCCTCATAAGGGCCATGTCTGCATCCATCATGTCCCGAACAAGACTCTGAAGATGGGAATAAGGCATATAGTAAATATATTGGTACGGATGCATAGATGTAAAATATCTGACAACAGTAACTGCATTTACAAAGGAATATGTTCAAGCAACTGCATTGTCCAACAGTGCAATATTGGAAGAAAGACAATTTCAGGCCTAAAATAACAAAGTGTGAACATTTTTTTTTTTTAGCTTTTCAGATGAAGTTAAGTCTACTTAAGTGCTGTCTGACCTAAACCTACTGAAGTTGGCATTTATTATAACAGAGAAAATGTAGAACAGTTTAAATTCAAATTGCACATTAAGTCAGTTGAGTGCACCTGATTATCAAGTGATTCTTGGTTGCTCAAAATTAGTTTTTTTTTTTTTTTTTAAGATGTCCTATTATTAAGGTACATAAGGAATAAAGAAAGAAATAGAATTTCAAATTTGATAACACTGCTCAACATGGCACTTAAGGTAATTACTTACAACCTTTAAACATCAATTTTCCTAAAACTTTTAACCATTTCAAGATAATTAATTTTCTTGTTATAGTTTAAAGAAAAAAGAAAGAAAACACATCTGAATCAAGAACACCTTTCACTACTTTTAAACCAACTTCTTTGAAATTACTCTTGGGTAGCAAAATTAATGAATAAACCTTTCCAAATTTAATGAGAAATGACCACAGTTCTTAACATTTCAAGGGTGTGCATAATACAGTTACAATACACATGCATGAGAGCCAAAATATAATATCAAAAAAAAAAAGCAATACCATTCTAAAGCTTTTTTTAAGTTAAAAACCCACGATGCTTATTCATCTGTCATTTGGTTATGTATACTATAACTCTTATATAGCTTTCTGCAGCATTTCTTTGAACCATTTTTCTCATGCATAATTTATAAAAGCATTCAGGCTAAATGCCAAGTTAACAAAGCTTTCACTATCAACCAAATGATCTACATCAACTTTGACAAAACAAACAAACAAATAAATAAATACCCAACCAATAATTTGCAGCCAAAGCAAAAATATCATTCCATGATTATTTTAAAGTATGGTAATAAAAATTCAACTGGAAAAGTACTCGGAGAGTGCAAGCCTCCACCAAGGCAGCTCAATTTTCATAATTACTATTTCTTAATAAAATAATGGATAATCACTAAAAATAATTTATTCTAAGTCAGCCAACTTCTGACCCACCCTGAAAATTTCAGCAAAATCCATCCAAAACTTTTTGAGTTAGGCTGTAAACAATCAAAATAACAAAGGGAAAAAAAAACCTTCGCAAAGACAACTAGCAACTAACTAATATATTTCTAGTTCTACTCTGACAATCTGATCCAGTGTTCATAAAATAAAAAAAAAATGATTTTCATGTTTCATCAATGTGCTAGCTGTAAACATGCATTTATTCTGTACTCATTGATGCCAAAAGAGACATTCTTAAAGCAAGGTCGGGTGTGTGGAGAATTTCAGTGCTGTAAATTAATCAGTCTTATAAAAATCAGCTTTTTACAAGGGTTAGTAATAAAATATTGCTAGGGATGACTCTGCTTTGTACAGTGACATAACAAAATACGATAATCATGCTCCGCCAGTTATATGGAATTGTGCTTCATTCTATTGCCACTAGAGGGTGATAAATCAAGACAAACCCTTTAGAAAATTAATTTTAATTTCTGTACAATCTTTGCTAATTATTACTGCAACTAGGGAAAGATATCAAGGATAACCAAGAAAAATCTCAGGTTAAAAAGCCAAACCAGAAAATATGCAGGGATAATTGAATTTCTACACTATAAATAGACATTTCAAGCATGTATTATCTGCAAAAGATTTGCAATATCCCATCACAGAGGAAAAACAAGGCATACAGCTGACATGCTGCTCAGAAGACAAAGACACACCCACCATCAAAAACTATTAAGCTGTTGGATTGGTCCTCATCAGAGCTACGTCTGAATCGACCATTTCTTTCACTAGACCCTGAAATAAAGTTTAGTGGCAAAAGCATGCGATTAGAAAAATGTAATAGAAACACTTATTGATCTCTTTTATAGGCCTCTGTTCTATGTAAGAAAAAGTACAAAAGATTAGAGAAAAAAATAACAATTACTCTTCTTGAATGAAGAAACAGATCAATGCATTGTAGGGCTTAATATGAAATGATGATAAACTGTCCCATAGTAGGTTTTCATTGCTCACCATAGGTAGCAAGCTAGCTGCTTATGATTTTCATCTACTTCAAATATCATTAGTAAAACTAAAATTCAACATCATTTGAAGCAAATAGTTAAGTGTTGAGTCCTAGGTCAAATTAAAAAAATAAATGAATATTTTTTAATAAAATAAATAAATAAATATATAAATAAATAAATAAACTTGTTATTTAGCCCTTTCCTTGTCCAACTGAAGAACCACTGACTAACACTTGAAATGTGTCACTTACAGAACAAGTGCAACAATTTGCTCCATGACAATAATTTAACATTGGTTTACTTGATTTTCATTTGGAATAAAAGGTCACATTTTATTTATTATATTTACTTACTGAGTTAAATGTTGCAGGAATGTTTTTTTTTTTTTTTTTTTTTTTTGACAAGTTAAAGGCTTGCAGTATCATGTTAACATTAAAAAATTGTTGAATGTAAATATCTTAGTAAAGTTATGTGTGAACAGAATAGGCTATAATACAAAAAGAAATATGCAAAATAATGCTTAAATTGAGAAAGAAAGAAAGAAAGAAAGAAAGAAAGCCTTCAGTTCAACTTTGTCAATGAATCAGCTAAACTAAATTTATCAGAAAATCCCCAAATTCCCCATATTATATTAATTAAAGAGAACTGTGACACTGTACTTGTCAATTATCAATTATTCTGTGGTCTGGAGAATTAGAAATTATGTTGTAAATCAAGAGCATAAAGAAATGGCAGTTAATTTTTTTGTCCTTTGGAAAGAGGGGAGGGTGAGCTAACCCCATCCCTTACTCTGCTGCAGAAAATTATGAAGAGTTGCTGGATATGGAATTATTTTGTGGCACTGAATAAAAATACATGTCTGGTGTGTGATTTCTTTCCCTTTTTTGAAGGAATTAAGGCTGGAGCTGAATATTTTTCTGAAATAAATTGGTTGGGTGGGGGGGGGGGGGGCAGAGAGAGAGAGAGAGGAGTGAATTCACCGTGTATTAGTGTGACCTAGTTAGATTTCCATGAGGATCCTTTCCACTATTTCCTCTATCCTTTCACCCTTTTTTCCTCAAGTGGGAGGGGAGAGTGCAACAACTTTACCTAACCACTACCATACCATTACCATAGGCAGCACCAATACTTACATCTAGATCATACTTAGGTCTCCAGTTGAGCAATTTCCTAGCTTTTGTACTGTCTCCTAATAGCTCATCCTGAAAACAAGAGACATCTATAGTTCAGACACAGTAATGAAAACCAATACCTTTTGCCTATTCCAAAATATGATGCATCAACTAACAAAAATAAACATACCAATGTCAAACTAAGTAAATGGGAAAATAAAATATACTTTCACACAATATGTGACTAAAGAAAATGATAAAGATTTGATAAAATTCAATCACTAAACACTTAAATAAAAATGTCACTTCATATGCGCTATACTCAAATCCAAAACTACTGTACCCAAACACTTATAACTGGCCGAGTTTACAAAAATGACTGGTTAGTCACAGTGAAACCTGTCATTAACCCAAGTGACAGCTTAATTTAGCCACATACCATCTCAGCAGACAGGGGACAATCTCATTCCCAGTATACTTACAACTTCTGTAGGCCTGTAGTACTTGGGGTTCACTCTGACCCTCACTATGCCTGTGGCTTTGTCTCTGCCTATTTCATTCTCTCCTTTGCCTTCCCATCTACAAAGTATGAAAATTCATTCATTCTAACCCTCGCAGTATTTTTTTAACCAGTGAATATGTAAACTGATCTCAATTGCATTAACCTAAATAAAAAACTGTGAAGTTTTCTTATTTTGTATTGGAAAGAGAAAGCAAGCAAATCACTCATATAAGATATTAACCAATTTTTGATGTCTTTATACAACTGTTTTATGATGTTTTAATTATGGCATGTTTCTGCCACCATAATACTTGTCCATCACAAAATCCACTGCAGCATCATGATTAAATGTCTACTTCATTCTTAAGATTTATATCTTTCTGAAAATTTTCTGTTTCCCTACAGCATGGTACTCACACTATTTCCACACCAACATGTCTAAATGACGCCTCCACAAAAGCACGTACACTGGTCGTCTGTCCCGTGGCTATGACAAAATCCTCGGGGGTGTCGTGCTGGAGCATCAGATACATGGCCTGCAACACATAATCACCATTCAATGTTATCTAGGCTAAAAATAACATAAATAACATATTCATATACCAGGCCAGGGATTTCAGAGGTAGGATTCTATTCTGAAAACGTAGATCTTTTACCATGAAACTTTTGTGTACCTAGATCAAACCTCGCCCAGGCCAACCCCCTCCCCCACTACAGGCCTGTATACTTAGCTTAAAATAGTCTTATATTTCTGCAATTTCAAGGCCTGTAAAACTCAATCTTGCCCGCTGATATAATCACCAAACATAATATAAACCCATGACAGATGTCATGGGCTTTGACCAATCAGAGTGAAGAAAACACATTTTCACACAGAAGTCTTACCAATCAGAGTAAAGGAAACATATCATTTGCACCTAGATACATGTATACAGTGTCTGTGAATAAAAATGATACAATAAAACATTACCTCCACATAATCTTTAGCATGTCCCCAATCTCTGGTGGCATTCAGATTACCCAGCTCTAAGATTTCTTGCTGTCCCAACATTATCTTGGCCACAGCGCGGGTGATCTTCCTTGTCACGAATGTCTCACCTGCAAAAATGTGATCACAATGAATTCAGTTGCTATCAACATCCTTACACTCACATGCATGGGTATTGTATGATATAAATTCTACTAGAGGGCCAAATGACAAAGCCAGTTTTAAAGAGAGTTAAGCCCAAAAATGAAAAAAAAATTACAGATATTCACAAACTGCTTCACCCTAAACAAAAAGTACAGCTGAAATACATTTTGCATCTTTCATAGTGCAGGAATATAAAATGAAGCATGTTCTGGGCTCCGTAACTCAAAAGCATTGCAAATTGGGACCGAGCGCAAACATGGAGCTTTACCTCCATTCCATAACTCGGGATTTACTTGCCTCATATATATATATATATATATATATATATATATATATATATATATATATATATATATATATATATATATATAATAGCAACAAAATGAAAGGTGATATCACTATCGCAATTTGTGATGCTTTCCAGTTACAAAGCCCTATTTACAAACTGACAACAAAACAGCTAATTTAATAGTCTAAAATAAAAGGTTCAAATGAAATGAATACACTATTGAAAACATTAATTCTTCAATGTCAGGGCTACTTTTTTCAGTACGTTGCAATTCTCATCTAAAATTAATTCAATGACCCTTATTTGAACAACAAAGATCAATATTAGTCTTTGCTTTAACTATTTCGCAGATAAGCCCTGCTTAATTATGAAAATGTCAAATTTGTTTAGCTTGCAGACTGACACGAGAGAGACAGCTTCCACTAAATAAAAGTGAAGTTACAGATATACAGAGACAAAATGTGTCAGGACATATGGTTTTCCAAATGATTATTTCAATTCTTTTTATTAATAATAACAAATAAGAGTAGTGGATATTTTACACTCAGACTCTCCATGTCTGAAACAAAGACTGGATTTCCCCTTTGATACATTAACACATAAATTTCTGTCATGCAAACTGAAATTAAAAATTAGAAAGTTCTGAAAGATGTAAAAGGGTGCCAGTTTACAGTTACAGCTGCATATTAACACACCTCTCCTTTGATTGTGGCTTTGTCAAACTGCTTGTGCAGTGTTACTACCATATTTATATCCTTTTCTTAGTTATAATCTACTAATCTGTTCCAAAATTTGGGAGTGGGGAAAGAAAATTATTTTCATCCTGGTCTTTGCAATGTAAGACTGAATTCCAACAAATTTTAGATCAATCTATCCCCGCGGGGAGTCTCACTAGATTACTGTCAGCTTAGCCGGCTTAAATGTCTGTCCCGCCTACTAAAAGCTGTAAGGGGGTAATTAACTTCCGTGTGCACTCGGCTGATAGCAATTTAGCGTGAACCCCCAGGGAGTTAGGTCGATCCAGATGGATCGATCTAAATCTGTGGGAATGCAGTCTAAGATATTAATCTCACCTCTCCTTGGACTCTCATGATTGAACAGAATACCATTGCAAGCAAACATGTTATATGCCTCCCTGTAGTTTACAATGATCCAGTATGCATAGAGTTTGGCACACCCTGTAATATAAATATAATACTTTGTTTTATATTGAGAAAGGTTTGGCACATCTTTGAATATCAACAAAACACTATGCCATGTGATAATGCTCTATTTTACTTCTTTTTTTTTTAATTTGACCTTTATCACTTTCAAAACTACTTCTAAAACTAACAAGGTATTAGTAGTTGTTATTAAATGTGTTATTCCCATTGTTAAATTATATCTCAGTGTAGACTGTATCTCATACTCAAATCATCTGGCTGTAAAGAGATAATGTAGCTGTTCATGATGGCCATTAATTTCAACAACTCTAACCAATTCCTGTTACAGGGACTTCACCCAGAACCAGCATTTCTAATTGAAACATTACCATAAGGGGACCTTGGATAAAATGGCGTTGTTTCCTTCTGGGGCACTTCCTGTACTTTGCCATACATTTCACTAGTGGAAGCTTGGTAAAAACGCACAGTGTCGGTCAGCCCGCATGTGCGTATAGCGTCCAACATGCGCAGTGTTCCTACAGCATCCACATTGGCAGTATACTCAGCCAGATCAAAGGAAACCTGCAAATTAGGCCAAAGGTCATATCAAACATCATTTAGGGTACACAATTTGATTTTTTTTAAAAGCCTGACCAACACAGAAAAGAAGTTTGTGACCAAACATGTATTTCAAAACTTGTTCGTTTTTTTACCTCTACCCCATACATTTCATTTTACCTTAACATGACTCTGAGCTCCTAGGTTATAGATTTCCCCCCCCCCCCCCCANAGGGACTTCACCCAGAACCAGCATTTCTAATTGAAACATTACCATAAGGGGACCTTGGATAAAATGGTGTTGTTTCCTTCTGGGGCACTTCCTGTACTTTGCCATACATTTCACTAGTGGAAGCTTGGTAAAAACGCACAGTGTCGGTCAGCCCGCATGTGCGTATGGCGTCCAACATGCGCAGTGTTCCTACAGCATCTACATTGGCAGTATACTCAGCTAGATCAAAGGAAACCTGCAAATTAGGCCAAAGGTCATATTATACATCATTTAGGGTACACAATTTGATTTTTTTTAAAGCCTGACCAACACAGAAAAGAAGTTTGTGACCAAACATGTATTTCAAAACTTGTTCGTTTTTTTTACCTCAACCCCATACATTTCATTTTACCTTTACATGGCTCTGAGCTCTTAAGTTATAGATCTCACTTCCTCACCCCACACACCCCTTACCTTGACATGGCTCTGAGCTCCTAGGTTATAGATTTCACACACACCCCCCACACACACACACATACCCCCTTACCTTTACATGGCTCTGAGCTCCTAGGTTAAAGTTCTCTCCCCCCCCCCCCAACACACACACAAACACACCCCTTACCTTCTCATGACTTTGAGCTCCTAAGTTATAGATCTAACCCCCCCCCCCACACACACACACACACACAAACACACACATACATACATACACACACCCATTACCTTCACATGACTTTGAGCTCCTAAGTTATAGATCTCTGTGGGTTGTATTTCACTGATAATCTTCACCAAACATGTGCTGTCTGTAAGGTCACCATAGTGGAGCTTCATGGCTGGAAAAACATGATCCAGTTGTAATATCATTTGTAGAAAGTTGCAAAGCACTGACATCAATGTCCTTTTAAAATTTTTAAATTAAAATGTGCAACTCTCACATATACATAATTTTAAAAATCATCTGACATGTGGTTTTTTTCAAGGCTTATTAGTAATTATTGCCAGGAAGTTTATCCTCGGCTTTAAAAAAATTGCCTGCTCCAGGGTTGATATCACTTTTCTCAGGTTTGCAAAATAACATTCACCTCAGCCATTTTTTATTATAATGACATTGATTTTATACTGCATATTCCCCATTAATATAACAGCACTGTAGAAAATCAATGCATGCTTATAAAATATGTTAAAATAAAATCATGAAGTGTCTCGCCACTTCAAATACTTCTGCAGGTACTATGACAAAAATTCATCTGCCACCATGTAGTACTAATACACATTAGCATCAAATATTAAACCAACAATTATGTAAAGGTATAAACTAAGCATTTTGATGGAACTTAATAGGATTTTTGCATGAGCCATTTTATAGTATTTTTCCTCTATGAAATATATTTAACCCTCTGTATATTCTAATTAAACCAATTTAAAATTCCACTAATTAAGGTCTAGTGTGTCTAGCAGTAGGGGTTATAGCAAATTTATAACTCTTTTTCATGGAATATGAAAAAAGGGCAGAAATATTCTGAAAATATAAGATGCACTGGTTATTGTAGCATTTTCATTCTTCAATAATTTTTCAAAAGTCTGTTTTAGAACTGCTGCTGTGCAAGGCATTGTTGGACTGTTAGCGCAGAAGATTCACAAAAAAAAAAAGAATAAAATCAAAAATCAAACAAAGTAGCTCTATAAAATTTTGAAAAATTACAAGTTACAGAAACCGACATGGCACAGAGTAATATATCACAGTTGAATATAAATAATAAATATATGCTTTAAGTAAATATGAACATATGTCATCTTTTATGTTTGCAAGTGCTTGTAATATCTGAAGTTGATTAAATATTCCAAAATTCCAAAAATTTTTTGAAACTTATCAGAAATTAATCTTAACAAAGTCCTATTTTCTCTACACTGCATAAATTTTTTTGAAAATTCTTCTTCATGGCTTTATTGTGTCTACTCAAATCCAATTTGTTTTTTAGCCAGACACCCATGGTAATAAAAATTTAAAATTCATCATTCCCGCCGGCAGTAAAACATAAAACCAACACTCTCTGCATATCCAGGCTAGGCTATAATAAATTCTGTCCTACCTACATGTAGCACTTTTAATACAAAATATTAATTTAATTCAGTAAACACTGCATTATCAATAAAAAAAAGTGAAGGCACATCATCTATGCCAATGGAAAAAGAATAGTGTAGGTCAAGTCAATGTTTGTAATAGTAATTAAATTTTATAAACCAGCCAAGAGGATTTTAAATGTAACTATCTCAGTGCAACAGAAAACAATCTATTGATAAATAAAGTACTTTACAGTATGTCATTCACAAAGATAAAGTTATAACCTCACAGATCTATCTGCAACAGATTTTACACTCTGCCAGAAATAAATCACTAATTTATTTATTATTTAATACACAAATGCAAAGAAACTGCTGTCCAAGTGGATAAATATAAATTATTAAATTATAGTCTCACATATCTGCTGGGATAGTCTAATACTGATTTAAGCTGTTAGAAAGAGTCTGTACTAGTAGCTGTTACTTTATGTCATACTTACACCCCTCCCTGTGTGATTTTGGGTCATCATATAAATGTTCGATACGCCCTGTGTTAAATGAACTAGATCGCCTGATGATGCCATGGACCTGGAAGTATAATACAAAAAGATACACATCTGATGCCCAGGGTTTTAAAAAATGTGTGGAAAGGGCAAACGCCAAGGGTAAAATATTGTGCGTCAGAATTAGACTGGGTTCCCATACTTAAATCGATCCAACTGGACCTAACTCCCTGGGGTTCACGCCAAATTGCTATCCTCCAAGAGGCTCAAATGTCTGTCACGCCTACCGAGTCAGCTAGGGGTAAAGATAATTACCCCCTAACAGTTTTACTAGGCGTGACAGACGTTTAAGCCGATTAGTTTGATAGCAATTTAGTGAGACTCCTCAGGGAGGTAGATCGATCCAAATATCTATGGGTCCCTTAAAGGAAACTCTTTATTCATGAATGAAATACATTATAAATTCGGAATGCCCCCAACATAACCAGTACATGAGCTATCAACACTGATTTACCCAAAGCAAAGTTCTCTGTGTGAAATTCTCTTCTGCTGAATAATGCCCCTTCAAAGCCTTCTTTTTTTTAAATAAATGAAACAACTGTTGCCAAAAACCCATTTGTAATTTGTGGAATTTCATTCTTTATTATGATATAACTGTGTGACCCTTTTCTAATACAAAAACTGGTACTACAATAAAACCCCAACCACAAAATTCTAGTCTTGTAAAATTTTTTGATGATCATACTGAATACTAGACAGGCTGTAAATAATACACCATTCTTCCACAGTTTAAGTATCATGACCAGCATATAATCAATGCTGTGGTTTCTATCTTACAAATACATTAAAAAATAAGAATAACCCACATCCATCTGTTAGAAGTCTGACTCAGTCATAAATTTAAATTCTGCATAATATGACAACTTGGCGATCAATATAACTGTTCAGTACCTTTCACTTCATTCATTAATAATGTATAATATTACACAGATGACAAATATGTTTTATAGACTTCAGGCACATAATGTGTCGTCGTACATATACGATGTGTGTAACTTTTGGTATGTCAGCTCCTTTGCCTCTCTGTGTTTTGTATGGTATTTGTTGGTGAATAAAACATCAAATGTCACTGTTAAAAAAAACTAGTCCTCTTTTTTTTTTCTTTTATCATTTGACTATAAAAAGTGCTTTTAGTTTTATCCTAAAAGCAGAAATTTGAAGCACCACTGTATGTTACAGATACAGAAGGTTACTTGAATATGAAGGACTAATTTTATTTATTTATTTATTTATTTTTTTTTTTTTTTGGGGGGGGGGTCCACCTAATAAAGACATGTTTTTGAAAAGTTACAGAAAGAAACAGGCTATTAGTATGAGTCGTATGACCCCACAAAATTTAATCTGGGTAGTGAAGTGATACTGCCTGACTTTGTGACTTACCTCATACCCTTTCTCAAGAAGTAGTTCAGCTAAGTATGACCCATCCTACAAAAGAAAGAAAAATAGGAAATATGTTCAAAAATGATGAAATAATTTGTGAGTGTCACTTGTGCTTACATGAAATTAAAGTCACAATAATGAGGGCTATATACATATACGGAGATTTCACGTGGAAAGTTTCCATCTAAACATTATATAATTTCATTGTTTAATCTATGCTGCTACAAGGACCACACCCGAGTTAAGTGTCGGATAAATTCTCTCAGTTTGTTGTTACATTTAAATAACAAACAAGGGCGCGTCACCCTAATCAAGACCCCAAGTTGTCGAAATTTTGTGACTTCGATTTTGAAAAAATAAAAACAATCAATAAAAAGCTGCTGCTTGCACAGGGTTTTTAGATGGTATGCAGCGTAGTTACATTTGTGAGTAAGGCCACGGCTAAGTTTATAACTTAGGGCAAATTGGAAGCCATAGCTTGCATAATAAATTAAGATTTTTGATCCATTTAATTTGAGTGCATGGGCACGACACGAATGCAAAATGAACCCTCAACAATCGTAACAGAAAAAAACGCCGATTCTGTGAACAATGATGATTATCGAAACCTACTGCTTTCAGCGTTATTTCGAATTTTGTAGTCGGTCTAGAGTAGCGTGGTCCCTGAATAAAGCAAGGTAAGAGATGAGGGGGGTATGTGGGCCTACCACATAATACTACGGTAGCAGCACAGGCCATCTCCCTCATCTCATCAATATTTCATAACACTTTTAGCAGCTCCGCATCTTTAAACCGATGAAGATCAACTTCAAGTCGCGTTCATCAAAGTTCGAGTAAATTACCTGTCCTGTGATTCCCGTCAGCAGAGCCACTTTTCGACCTCTTTTAGGCATCTTCGCTTTTGGAGGTGAACAATTCTCGCTCGCCATTTTTACCGGCTTGGCTATCAGACACGCGTCACGTGGTGAACCACCCCGGAGTGTGATTGGCTGAGGTTGACCTGAACTTGGATTGCCTGACGTCACGGTGTAAACAAATAAAATGTGCTCTGGGCAGCGTGCGTTGGAGCTGCCTGCCCGGGCAAGATGGGCTGACGCATTCCCTGACATTGGATAATCCCCGTAAATGAAAACGCTGCAGCCAATCACAAACCAACCCTGGGGTGTCGTCATGAATATCAAATGAGCATTTCGGGCATGTTGAGGCCACTCTAGCGTCACTCACTGTATATAAATATATAGCATCCGTAGTAAGATATGCTCCATCATTATAATTTTACTTCGCGACACCAACATCACTATGAACTATGATGGTGTTAGGAATTTTCTACGGAGTTTGGATCTGTCACAGTATTTTGAGATGTTCAAGACGAAGGGATATGAACGGGAGTCCGATCTGGTCGATCTAGATGAGAAGGATTTGGATGATCTGTTGATTACAGACCCAGAGCATAGGAGATTGGTGCTAGTTGCGTGTAAGTTTATTTCACTTTTCTCAGTAGGCTACACATGGCCAACATTATATATATATAGATACCAGCAAGTTAGCTTTAGGATAAGAAGGCTGATATGTACCCCAGGACATTGACTGTATAAAGGAACGATAAGTGCATGATCCATACTCGGCAACTTCCGCATTTTTACATATTTTTCTCACATACCCCTCAACTTTTACTATCTAGGTTTCTTCTGTCTGAAACATTTTTTCCGTCTGTAAAACGGGACTTTGGTTGATAAGACTGATATTTTTAACAAAAACGGTCAATTGATTGTACATACGGAAAAAGAGCAATTTATCAAAATTATTTTACTTGCTAAGCTGTCGCTGTATTCTAAAACATTAGTGATAAAAGCACACGCGATAATGCATTTTATGGATAAATATTTTTGTTTTGTCTATTGTAATAATTTGAACTCAGTTAAGGCCCTAGATTTCGACTAATATTTCTACTATCCATTGTGAGGGCTATTCCACTATTTTAAAAATTCAATTTTTGAATTTTTCGTTGTTTTACCATACATGAAATAGAACAACTTTAGGCACCGCTATTATCTCTAAAATCTAACTTTTACTAGTAAAACCAATCCTTTAACAAACTCTACGAAATTTAAAGATACAATGTTTTAAACATAAAATCAATTGAAAAAAAGAAAGAAATTTTCTCTTGAAATATAACAGGCACGAAAACCATCCGGTGATAAAATAGCGCCGTTTTTTGCCTTATGCGCGAGCTTGTTTAGAAATTTTAGAAAAATTCGCTTAGATGTTGTATGATTTATTAAAAAAAAACAGTGGGATCTTTTTCATCTGGCCTATAAAAAACAAAAATATATAATACTGGTATTTTAGATGGCAAAACAATGCTTTGAAATTCTTCCCGATTCGACAGGTATCTTTGACGAATTAGAGTGTAAACCCGCAAGGGCGTACAAATATTTTCATCATGTGTATATTCTTTACTTATCTACTACATAAAAGGTTGATATTTGACTTACCATTTTAAACAAGTATAAATTATAATCAATTATTCCCTCTTGTGGTCATCAAAGCATACACATATTTTCAATTTTCTCAAATTCCCACTCCAGCTCAAGGTCTTGAAATTTCACCAGAGGGAGCTTTACTGGACTTTCTGGTGGCCAATGGGTTAGAGCATTACTACGAGAACTTTCTCCACGAGCACCGTGACATGGACATGATTGAAAACATAGACACCACGCAGGCGAGGTCCTTCCAAGAACTAGAGATCACACTGCCGGGACATAGAAAGCGTCTCCACAGGGCAGGTAGGTCCGGGAAGGGGAATGAAAGGGGGGGGGGGGGGGGG